ATGGGACTTTGGGACGTGATCGTGGACGGGATGGGTCAGGTGAAGCCCAATCGTCAACGCACCTGCTCTTGCAAGTTGCCATGAAAGCGTCCGGGCAGTGCGGGGCGGGTTGGGGGACTACAACGGCATGGAGGCTGGGGTTCAACGACTCAGAGCGGTGGCATGAGGCGCCAATGAAGTGGAAGAAGGGGCGCGGGACGCCATGTGTACGATTCCACCCGTTGCGCGGGCGTAGGTTGGGAGTTTAGGGGAAAGCGCGGGACGCCGTATGGGCAGGCTGTATCGCGGGATGTACGAGATACGTCAGATGGAGCTCCGCACGCCGCATTTATCGAGGCCCAGGGTTTACATAAGCCTGGCATAAAACTGGCGCTACTCGTACCAAATTTGGCTCGGCGTCGCCCAGTACCACCAACACCACCGGTCACGGTGTCACAAGGTGTGGAGGGAAGCACACGACCGATTCCAAAAGATGCGGGGTGATCGACCCCACGTCCCACCCAGCAGGGCGTCAGAAAGAGTGAGACCCGGGGTTCCCTGAAGGTTCGGCGGCAGCTAGGGCACCGCTCACGGGGATTGCACTGCGAAGTCGGTGCGGGAAGGAAAGGCCAGGGGCCATTAAAAGCGGCCGGCCGGCGCGCTTCCCGCCAACACGAATATCTCTCCCTCCCGTGAAGCTTCAGCCCGCGCCGCAGGCGGGCGAAACCCCATCGACCTCGCGAAGGTTGCTGTGCCCGGGCGGCGCCCATTCCGCGCCCGCCAATTCTGCGGCAGGAGGCGCCTGCCACCCAGCATGTCCGGCTTCCCGGCCCTCCCCCGGGGGTTGTTCATCGCCGCCCTCATTCAATTGGCGCTGGCGGCGGCGAACTCCCCGGAGACGCGCGCCGCCCAGGCGCTGTCCTGGCACGGCCGGCGCGCCCTCCAGACGGACGAGGTCAGGCCGCAGGCCAAGATTTTCGGCGGCGTGACCACTGAGCCCGGCGAGTTTCCTTTCTTCGCCTCCCTGCGCCACTTCGGCAACCACTTTTGCGGCGGCGTGCTCGTCAGCCCCAACCTGGTGCTCACGGCCGCGCACTGCGTGGATGGCAACCGCGCCGTGCCGCGCCACCCCGCGGTGCAGGTGGGTCTGCACGGCGTGAACGACGGCCCCGTGGACTCGCCGTACTTCGAGGAGTTCAGGGTGTGCCGCACGATCGTGCACAGCCAGTTCGACGTGCGGGACCTCCTCAACGGCTACGACATCGCGCTGCTGGTGCTGGACAGGCCCTCCACGGCCGGGCAGCTGGCCCTGCTGCCCTCGGGAGTGGAGCTGGAGCCGGGCGACCCGACCGTGGTGACGGGATTCGGCAAAGTGGGCAACCACCGCGTGGCCACCACACTGCAGAAGACGGAGATAATGCGAGTGATCTCCAACGAGGAGTGCACGGACAAGTGGCAGGCCGCCAGCCCCGGGGTGGAGATTAAGAACACGCTGCTGTGCGTGTTCGCGGGCAACGGGACGGACGTGTGCCAGGGCGACAGCGGCGGTCCGGTGCTGGACGAGGACGCCAGCGTGGTCTTGGGCGTGGTGTCATTCGGCCCGCCGGACTGCGCCCTGACGGACGTTCCCGGGGTCTTCACGCGGATCACGGAGTACCTGGGATGGGTGGAGGCGCTGGGTGGGGCCGACTCCGTGGCCTACGACAGCGACGAGTGCTCCGCGGAGCCGATGTTGCCCAAGGGGGCCGTGACCGAGCAGAGCGCGGCTGAGGAGATAATCGACGCCATCGAGGACGGCAACACCGACCTGGCGGTGGAGCTGATCCAGACGGCCGTGGAGTCGGGGAACGTGGACACCGTGGTGGAGGCTATGGAGATGGCCGTGGAGTCCGGGCTCCAGAAGGAGGCCGGGGAGGCCCTGTTCGCGGCCGTCCGGGCGGGCGTGTCCATAATCGACCTCCAACCGGCGTTTCGGGCGCTGAGGGGGCGGAAATAGGGGGGGCTGGCGGGACGGGACGCAACATTTTTGAGAACGACACGCACACACAAACGTTGCAAGCGCCCTCAGGGTCCCACTCCGGCCCGGGCGGCGGCCCCTGGCGCCGCGACAGAGCCGTACTTTTGTCCATGGCGGGGGGTGCTGGCCTCTTGGGCCGTGGCACAGCTGTTGTTGTCCATCGCTGGGGATGCTGCTGCCCTGCCTCGCGGGCAAGGAGGACTAATAAAAGGTTGGAGGTGAGGTGCCTGACGGAGTTGGAGAAACGATGGTTCCTGTTGCTTGGTGGTTGCTGACATCTCCGCTGAGCGTCGACGAGTCGCTGAATGGACTGCCTATTTAAAATTGGTTCCCGGGACGCCAGGCAACCCAGCACCAGCACAGGGCGGGACGAGTCGCTGAATGGACTGCCTATTTAAAATTGGTTCCCGGGACGCCAGGCAACCCAGCACCAGCACAGGGCGGGACGCTGGCTGCTCGCTGCCATGGTGGCGTGTCCGTGTCACTTAGAGGGCGGTGGTGCACCGTGGGCACCTTGGGGAGGGGCACGGTGTGTTATCTTTTTGGCAAGTGAGCCACCACAATGGCACACTGCTTTGGGACTTGAACATAGGTCCTGGAATTGTTGTCAGCGACCACGGACGGCTTGCGAGATAAGTTGGCCAGAGGAGGGTCGGGATGGGGTAGGTTCATTGCAGTGCAGAAGCACTTCTTTCCACACAACACGACTCACCTTAGACATTTTAGAGTTTTTTAGAATTGCTGGACTGCAGGATTCTGTAGGGTCTGTAGACCTGTAAGATATTTATGACATGCCTTGTTGCTTGACCCTAAGCAGTTCAACAGCATGCCAAAGCCCGTGTTGGTGTGTGTTGAGGAGTCGAAGATGACCCCTGGCAGTGCTGCCACGTTGGTGGGGTAATAGTTGACAGGAGGCCAGGACACCTTGCAGCACTATTTGGTGACTGGCATGCATCACACCACAAAACGGCCAGTGTGCACAAGCGGCCAGTGTAGGTCACACCAAAACCAGCTCCACAACCCCAAAGCCACCTCGCCTGGACCTCGCCTGGAGGTTGCCATATAATGAGAACGTAGGTTTCCAGAACACCATGCACTGACAAGGGCTGTTCGCTGAAGCGCACGGAGCAACCCTCCCACAGGTGCACTTTGTAGCTCCCAACGGCTTGACCTGTTCTGTGACCTGACCAGATGTCACCCCCCCCCCAGTTTTTGGTTGCTTGGCTCGCTTTATCTGGTCGGGTAAATGCAGTCAAGTGAATTATGTGCGTTAGTTTTGCAGCGAACAGGTTGCTTGCTTGAAGTCTTGATTCAGGATGTGTACGTTGTTACTCTCAATCTCTTCGGAACGGAACTGCGCTTGCGTCCAAATTCCTGCCAATGTCCAGTCAGTGCTCTGGTCCTCAAGGTGCATGTCATAGTCTAAGTCTACAATCGGACCCCCGTCGGTACTGTATGCAAGTTTTCCTATACCGCATTTGTCGTCTGAAGAATGTGTACTACTCTAAAGTACGCGTAGTATGTCCGCTCTCCATGAGACCCTTACTCTTATTCACCAGCTTCCCTCTTTATGAGGGTGTTCCTCAAACATGTCCCCGCAGGGGAAGACAATTCTGAATGTGGAATCTCTGGGTGGTGAGATCCCCCCCTTTCTGAGTGACAGCGCCAGCTTTGAGCCTGCTCTTGGCCGACACATCTGCGACAATGGGACCAGCGCCAGGTCTCCTTCACGAACTTCAGGTTTGGCGTGATTCTGATGCTTTGGCTTAGCAGTGCCCAGTCGGCAATACTTGGACGGCACACTTGTCCAGCACATGAAACGCTGGACCCAGCGAAGTGAAACTCGCCCTTGCACACCTTTCGAGGTCTCATTGTCCCTCAGCGGCCAATTTAACGGCCGACATGACCAATTTCGCCCTTCTGAGACACAACCGGACCCAAATCAATGGGGACACAGCACATAAATGTCAGTAAGGCAATCTACCAGTAAAGCAATCAAGCAACCAAACAGCTATTACATCAGAAAATTACATCAGAAAAGGAGACTTGCAGAGGCCCAAGAGGCATAAAATTACTGGCTGCACCAAATCGTTAACTGCTTGCACCAAGTCACGTGCACATCATGTCCAACTCCGTCCAAACTAACCTAACCTAAAACCTATACCATGAAACCTAAACCTAAACCTGTCCTAACCCTAACCATAACCCTAACCCTAAAACTCACTGTTCGAGTGCCATGATGTTACAAACAGCTGACAAACACCGCCAGGAGGGTGTCTACGCTTTGGAACAGCAATATGACTCACCGATCAGCCATATGCGCTCAATGGGAGTCACCAAAAGCACAGCCACTATCACAGCCCTGTCAATCGCCCAGAATTTCTGAGCATTCCGCTCCTACACTTTTTACAACTCAGCCCCTAGGAGCTTACAGGACGATGGAAGTTACCACAGTACGCAAATTCAAACCCAACAGGACTCCAGGGGTATTGTCGAGCGCTGCCGAAGCGAGGCGCAACCCCAGCACTGAATTTCTCTCAGCTGTTTAATGCTCTGCCTAGCAGCGGTAATTCAGCACCGGCCAACGAGGCGACCCCTTACGCCACCTTTCACAGCTCCTGAAACTTCGTTCAGTGAGTCGCCAGCACTTCAGAAGGCTCCACGCAGTGTTGCCATCGTCGCACACTGATCGCTGACTAGAAACTTCCTTCCAATCCACTCGATAGTCAAATCGCAGGCGGCAAAGACGCCACTGGACAGCTGCCAGCACTCCGCCTCGTTTCCGTCCCCACAGCGTAGAGTGAACGCGAACGTTCCCTCCCCCTCGTCCGCCGCTCGCCAAGCCGCGGTCGAGTCCACGGCCCCGAAGATCCATCGGTTGGGGAGGCCTGAGCCGCGGATGGCGCCCCATGCCAAAGCGCCACCGGCCCCCGCCTCGCAGCCCTGCTTGACGAGAAAGGCTGCCTCACTCAGGACGAGGGGCGCGCCCAGCTCGCGCGTTCCTCGGGCGGCCGGGTCTGGATGCACCTCGCCTTGTCGCGGGATGGGCGCAATCCATCGAGTGGGGATGGGGCAGGGCCCTGCCATCGACCCCTCGCCAAACTCCCCGTCCGCATCGCGACGCACCGGCACCCAATCCGGCAGCCTGCTCTACTTGATCCGCGCCATCTGCCCAGCTTTCAGCGCTTTCCGTGGCGAAACGGCAGCGTCGCTCCGTTCGGACCAGTCGCAGGGCGCGGGGCGCGGAGGCCTTGTGGGCGCAGGATGCGGGGATGTGACGAACGTGTACGACGCAGTACAATACAAAAAGTACCAAAGGGCAGTTTCCCATACAGCCGCTAAGCAATAAAGTATTGTCAGCACCCGTATACAACGCCCCATCATGCTCCATTGGGTCCTTACACTCTTCCAGTACTTGTCCTGTCAAAGTCCTAGGACTTTTTGAAAAGTTCAGGTCCATTGAAGGACGACCCCTACGGTCCATGGCCTCCTCAAAAGGGGCCAGAATTTGGCCTTCTTTCTCTGCGAAAGTCGCCCAAGAGCTCCCTACGAACAGACCAGCCTTTTTCCAAGGGTGCTTTCCATCGGGCCTGTATACACTACGGCCCCTTTCTTTCCGTCTGATGTACCTATAGCCTCAATTCTGTGTACTGGAAATGAGTGACTCAAAACTGTATTGCATCCCGTCAACCTAGGGGTCCAACCAAACTAGTTACTGCCCTTTTCCTTGGCAAAATGACAGCGCAGCCGTAGATGACCGTGCTGCCCATCGACTGGCCTTAAAATGACCCAAACTACACAGGTTGGGCTGGCTCTGATTATCCCAATCACAGATTCACAGAATAGGGGACATCTAAGCCTAGACCGCTTTGAGTTAACCATACTGGAATGTAGCTGACTGCGCACATGTTTTTGCTTGAGTACGGAGCAGTGACAGGACTATCAAAATCAGCCATCTTAGTACGTTTCAAGGGAAAACTGGCCGACTATGTCCGTACTCTTTCCCACCATCTTTTTACTCGTTTACAGTGATGGCCATTAAATTGAATAGATTGAGCTGTAATCGAACATCACCCTGAAACTAAACCTAACCCTAAAATTGAGGTTAGGACAAAGTGTCCACGCGACTTGGTGCAAGCAGTCACCGATTTGGTGCAGGCAGTAATATTATTTCCGCAAGACCGGCTGCCCACGATGGCCATGTGCTTCTATGTAAGCGCCGGCTGCCCCGGGGGCATTCGCGCCGAAGTTCCCGTCACACCTTTGCCGCCGTGCGCCCACGCGCACGGCCCACCCAGCGGACGGCAGCGACGTCGGCTGCGCGCGGGCGAGCTTGGACAGGCGCCCGGCTGCCGTGGCGATGAGGGCGATGCAGGCCGCCCGGCTGGCCGTCCTGACCTGGGCGGTTTTCGAGGCGGCCGCCTCGAGCCTGGCATCCCGGGAGGCCGCTGGCGACGCCCTCGCCGGCGGGGGCGCCAGGCGGCTGCGGCAGGAGGGGGAATTCGTGTGCCCCGTGGCCGAGGCCGACGCGGGAGTGGAGGCCAAGATAGTGGGCGGCGTGGACTCCTGCCCCGAGGAGTTCCCCTACTTCGTGTCCCTGCGCAACTTCGGCACGCACTTCTGCGGCGGCGTGCTCATCGGCCCCGACCTCGTGCTCACCGCCGCGCACTGCGTGGTGAACGCCGCCGGCACCAAGCGCACGCCGGACGTCAGCGTGGGCCTGCTGGACATCGACGACCGCCCCGGGGACAGGCCCACGGTGGAGGAGTTCAAGACCTGCCGGTCGATCATCCACGCCAAGTTCGACCCCACCGCCCTGCAGCTGGGCTACGACATCGCGCTGCTGGAGCTTAGCGGGCAGTCTGGCGCGACGGCGCTGGCCAGGCTGGACCCCGACCTGGAGCTGGAGGAGGGGTTCAACGTCACAGCCGCGGGCTTCGGCAAGATTTCGAACAACCAGGTGGCCAGCAGGTTCCAGAAGACGGAGAGGCTCAGCGTGATGACCCTGGAGGAGTGCGGAGCCATATTCGGACTGGACTTCCCGGACACGCTGCTGTGCGCCATCGACAGGGTGAACGGCTCCGACGTGTGCCAGGGCGACTCGGGTGGGCCCCTGCTGACGCGGGACAGGGAGACGATCGTGGGGGTGGTGACCTTCGGGCCGCGCGACTGCCAGGCGGTCGAGGTGCCCAGCGCCTACACGCGGGTGTCCGCGTATATGGACTGGATCGAGGCCAGGGGTGGCGATGAGGCGGAATTCGTGGTGAACGACAAGTGCGGCGAGGGGGACGGGGGGGCCGGGGATGCGGGGGTGACGGTGCTGCAGATCGTCGACGCGGTGAAGGGGGGGGACATTGACGGGGCGGCGGAGCTGATCGCGCGGGCCGTGGAGGAGGAGGACAACGTGGACGTGGTGGTGGACGCGATGGAGGTCTTGGTGGAGGAGGGGCTGGGCACGCAGGCGGGGGACGCGATCGTGCTGGCGATCAGGGAGAAGGGGGCCAGCGCGGTGAAGCTGGTGCCGGCGCTGAACGTCGTGAATGGGTAGGGCTTGGTGCCGGGGCGCCGGGGGGGGCTTTTTATTTAAGATTTTGTTTTGCGGGCACGCGGTGGTGCCCAGTAGTCAGGTTGGGACGAGCGCATAACCGCAGCTGTGGGGCTGCCGTGTGTGTGAAGCGGGAGCTATGGGGATTCCAGCGGAGAGGGGGGTGGCTGATAGGTTCTCTAGTGCAGCTATGCGCACTTGTTGTGCCCATTGTGGCCATTGTTTTGGTGCCAAGCAGGAATGAGCCAAAGCCGAGGGCGACGCCCTGGGACTGCAGGATAGCTGGCAGCGGTTGTACGTGGCCCTATCTTTAACCAAGCAGCAACAGACCAAGTTTTCCCTCCTGTTTGCTGGCATATTGTGGATGGCTGTGCTTCATGTTGCGATTCATGCCATGCACCATGGGCCGGTCGTCAACGATTTCTGTCAACAGATCTGCCTGTGCACTCCCTCTTGTGAAGGGCTCAGGGCTCTTTCCCGTTCTGTGAAACAGTGGTTGCAGACATGCAGGGTGCATGTGACAGGGTGCCACTTGGCCACCCCATTTGCTGACAAAAGCAATGGCATCGTGGTCCACTTGGACTGGCAGAGGCCTGGTGGTTGGACTGCATGCGGAGAGATGTCTTAGTGAAGGAAAGCCATTTGTGTTGAGAATTAGGGCAGGCATAAAAACTTCAAAATGTTGTGCACAAGATTCAGGATAACATGCGTTGACCTGAAGCTTACAGCATATCCAGCGAGCGATGTGAAAATTGATTGTTGTCCGTGCCGGCGATGCTGGCAACAGTGCCCTTGCCTTGCTTTCTGTTTTTGCACCAGCTTTGTAGCGACACAGTATGGAGGGACCTCTCCCATCCCATTACTGGGGAATGTGATTTGTGATGACCTGCTTGGTGTGCATGACATGCTCACACTTCCATTGTTGTCTACAATAGCAGCAAGTGCAAACACCTCCATAGGTGCTGATTCCAGAGCTGATATCAAGCCGCCCACTTCGCCGCTTGAGCCATCCACTGCCATGAATGTTTCTTGGAATTCAGTCGAGGCTGACACCTGTGATAGGGCACGAGCCAAACATTCGCTTGTGCTGAAACTTGTCAACTGCAGGATGGCAAAACACTGCCATCAGTATGGAGTGCCTTCTGTTAGGCTGGCAGTGACACTTGGACTCTTGCATGTGATACTTTGGAACAAGAAATGGATCAACTTGTCCCTGATAGTTGTGGCAGGACGCATACAAGGCATTGAAATGATGCTGCCAAGCTCTGCTTCGATCCGTTCTTGTATTCATCCCGGCTGCAGCGACCCTGTCTTCCAGCTTGTTGCTGTGGTTGCAGCTCCTTCCCCTACCTCTGCAGCGCACCCTTTGCTGTTATCAGGTTGCATGGACTGGCAACGCTGAGCAAACATCACCTCTCCGCTCTGAAGCACCAACGGAATTTCAACACAAGGGGAACCTTGCATTCAGACTTGCAAATGGGGCACTGGGCCTTGCACAATGCGGCGCTTTAGTGCGTCGTGTGTACCAGGCTGGTTCAGTACAGTGCAGTGAAAGGAAATTTGGAGATAGGACAAGTATTGAGGGGGCCTATACAGGGTGCTAATGTGATGAAGCGGGGTGCACATGGAGCTAATTGCCACCTCCACTGTTGCAGAAGCAGCCCATCCTACTTGAACATGCAGCTCTTCCGATAACCAACCAAATTGCAATTATTTTATGAGTCGACCGACCCTCACATCCCTTCACTCATCCGGCGCTTAGAGGATGCTCGAACACAGCACAGGTTATCCCAGCTGCTGCGCTCCATCCTATGCGAGAGAGCCCCTTCCGCTTCTGGGGAAAGCACCTGGGCCGAGAACATGGCTGGAGACATGTTTGGGTCCACATGTTGTCCGAGTCGGGCAAATGGGCCCCACGTACCTGGGGCACAGCAGGACAGCCCACGCTGACGCCAAACCTGCACGCTACCACTGTGCTCATATAGATCCTGAAAAAGATCAACACTCGTCGACAATCACAAGGGCGAAAGAAACACCGGGCTGGAAGTCGAGAGATGGAATGCCAAGGGAAGTTTTTGTGCCCACTGCCATGCACCTCGAAAGCAAAGACTTCTATTCGCAAATAACCCCTGCATCAGCCCCCACGACCAAAAAGATATTCCACCTGAACTCTAGACCTCTCAAGCTCTATCCCGTCGCCAACAACTTCTGAGCTGGGTTCGTACATTCGGCAACAACGCCCGCAAATGCCGTGGCAAATCAACCCCATTGCAGCACGCTGTGACTGCACTGTGCAACAGGTGGCGTTCACAACGCGGTCGTGGCCATGTGGGAGGCAACAAGACACTGCGCGTCACTACGTCACAACGATTTCATTGCTACCAGAAATGTGCGGCAAAGCGTCTGCTAAACACACAGCCGAGCACTCCATCTTCCATTTCTATACACACACTAGCCCCTACACTACCACAGCGGCGAAATTGCAAAACTAAATGTCTACGGACAACAAAGTGCTGTGGTTGCCGCGCACCCAGTACTACTGCAAGCACCCTGGGCGCCCCAGCGCAGCAGCGGCGTGGGCGTTGTCTGCCGTGTGGCCATCGTTATTCCATCAACCCACCTGGTATGCAGCAGCAAACCAAGGCTGTCTGCCTGCGGTGGCACCACTCCAGCTGGTATGTACTGGCGGCTCGAGCACCTTTCCTGGTCTGCTGCACACCTCATGGCTTCTGGCCATCTGCTTCAGCCGCGCTTCACAAACATCGTGCATGCGCAACCACCCGTCCTGCCTCTCCTCCTGCCTGCCTGTAAACTTGCCAGCCATTATTGGCCCACCTCCAGCAGCCGCCAGGACTGCCATATTTCACAGTGAGCCAATCATTCTCGACGACGGTCGCCTGGGCACATCCCCCCTGTCGTGGTCCAGCCTGCCTCCCTCCCTCATCATGGCATGAAATTCCTTGTAGTCAATCCTACCGTCCCCATCTGCATCCACCTCCGCCAGGATGTCGTCGATCTCCATTGCTGTCAGGCCCTGCTCGGTCATGAGGCAGTGCACGATTTCGTCGGGGGTTATGTACCCATTGCCATCCCTGTCTAGGTGTTTGAATGCCATCCTTATGTTCTGATCCGAGTCCAGTTTCTGCATCTGCACATTGGCAGCCATGAATTCCTCATAGTCGATCTCCCCATTGTCATCCAGGTCCACTTTCTCGACAAGAGTCAGAAGCTCCAGCTCCTCCACGCTGGCACCCTTCTTGGTCAGCGCCTCCTGCAGCTCTGCTACTGACAAGGTCCCACTGCCATCGGTATCCATGGCCTTGAACATTTTGCGCAGCCCCTCAGTCTCCTCCTCAGGCATCTGGGAGGCAATCAGCTTCAAGGCCACCCGCTTCAGCCTGTTGCACTGTGTGAACTCGCTCATGCGCCTAAACACGGCGTTGCCCAGCGGTTTTCGCTGCCCACACACCTTTTCCAGCCATGCGTGGTGCAGCACGTCCCGGGCAGTGCCCCTTTGGTCTGGGTTGCGCTGCAGCATCCACCTGATACACCCCTTGGCCTCATCCGATATGCTGGGCCAGGGCTCGAACGTGAAATCCAAATCCTGCTCTAGTATGGCTCTGAAGGTCTCCATGTTGGTAGCACAGTGGAAGGGGGGCTCCCCACACAGCATTATGTATGCTATTACACCGATGCTCCAGATGTCAGCAGCAAAGCTGTACTTTCTCCGCAGGACCTCTGGAGCAATGTAATACAGGCTGCCCACCATCTCGTTGAGATACTGTTCATCTTCACAGAATTGTGAAACACCAAAGTCAATGAGCTTGAGCTGGGCGTTGGGCTCCTTACTCGACAGCAGGAAGTTCTCCGGCTTCAGGTCTCTGTGCACAACGCCAAAGTCGTGCAGCTCAGCCACCACCTCCAACATCGACCTCACCATTTTGGCTGCATCGCTCTCACTGTAATTCCCTGTTGGTGACACCACAGCCAACTAACCGTTAAGGGGCCTAAACACAATGTGCGAACAACTGTGATAGTGCACTACTCTACCAGAGACAGTGCCTTGGGACTGCCCGGAACCCCCACTAATTCAGCAGCTGGCATGTGATGCGGAGGCCCCTTCCTGAGGCCTCACAGTGGAGTTATACTTGAACAAAAGTAGTTCGAATGCTGACCATCACAATCCCAAGAAAGCATCACTTGTGCTAGTTTCCAAACCGTAGGATAGAAAACCTCCGGGTGCACAACAAACACTGTGCATATATCCACGGGTATCAGATTGCTGTGCAACGAGTCGAGCGGCAAGAAAGAGCATTGCTCCCAGGAAGGACCATTCCAGGAGAAAGGAGCCCCACAATGCAAGAGGGCTCCTTGCCAGCGCCCAGCCCTTCCACTTGGCTGATAGTGGTGCAGGACAGCAGCTGGTCTTCCATCAAAGCCAGGGCACCCATTATCACAAGTGTGTCTGTTCTGAAGCACTGCTTTCACGGACCATGCAGCCACTAGACAAAAGACGCCATCTACCTGTATTTACAATGTGATCAAACAGCTCGCCGCCTGTACACAGCTCCATGACGATGTGAACATTCTCTTGGTCCTAAACACAGCACATAAGACCTTCAAATGGCCATAACCAGTATTCACAGCCGCGCTCGAAAACTGGTGGTACAAAGCATCCACAGCAAGCACACAGGGTTTCAAGGCCGCTGAAACAAATAGATCTTGCAGATTGTATTCATGATACACACACTACATCTTTCATGTTAGGGGTAGATTCAGTGCCTCGACAGGCTGGAATTCATTTCAAGGCATTCGGAATGCCACTCAATTCAAGACTGGCTTGAGCCATCCAAGCCCGAGTACCCAGCATTTTGCCATACCTCATACACTTTCTTCACATCTATTATGTTTGGATGGCCTGCCAGGAGGTGCATGATGGTGACCTCACGTTTGAGCGACTCGACGTCGTGCTGTGAAACAAGGCGCTTCTTTGGGATGCTCTTGACAGCAAACTCCCTTCCGCTCCTTCTGTGGATGGCTAGGCGAGTCACACCGAACTGGCCACGGCCCAGTGTCTTGCCGATCTGGTACTTTGCATTGATGTTGGACGTCTTCCTGACCACCACGTCAACGTCATGGCTCTGCACAAAGGCAGCAAGGTGTTCAGTGACATGTTGCAAAGGTGGGCACGAGACACAAGGCAATTCTGTTGCGAAAATACAATGCACAACCACAAAGCAGGGCAGTTCGAATGCACAATCTGGCACCTCCTGATTCATAGCATACTGACATTCCATATTACATTATGCTCCTCATTGATTATTCCAGCATAGAATCCTGTTGCTGCATTAGCTTCGGCTAATCCCTGCACAAAGAGCAACAAGATGCTGCACAGGCGTGTCTGGTCCATGCAGAAACACTGGCCATAATCAACCCCTGCTGCACATTGATGTAGGTGGCATAAAGCACTCACAAGAATTCAAATATACACAGTGCCAAGTGGCAAAGAAGCAGCGGCAAGACACCGGAACACATTCCCTACTGCAGGGGAACATTGGTTACTGACAAACTGTGCAGTCTGCTTCCTGTGGTGCTAATTCCCAGGTGCCCATTTGTCAACTGTAGCTGGAACATGAGCATTTGCTACTGTTGCTGCGCACCTAACTTGACCAGTTTCCAGAGCTCAGCACCATTCTTTGAAAACCACAGAACCTGTCGAACAACTCTAACATGACCATTTCAGCCCCTAGCTGGCAATGAACGATGGTTTGCAGATATCCACAAGCATGAAAGTAGGGTTAACAGGAATGCTTCAGCAGTGAGCATGAACAGCAAGTTTTCCCAAAACACGCCGATTGCACTCTCTGCAGGGTTGTGGGAATGCTCCAAGACCCTGTGCAACATATCTTGGGAGCCATAATCGAATGGAAGTCCAATGGCATTGAGGGTGGCAGCCAGCTCATCGTCAAGATACAAACAGACAGACGAGTGTGGTGCAAGGTGTGTTGTTTCAAGCTGCGGAGGCCATGAAAGTTGGCCAAGATCGTATGCCACACACACATGCAAATTGTCCTGGGAAAATTGTCTATCCTGCTGCAGATATAAGGTGAGAAATGCAGCATTGACCATGTCCCAATCTCACTTTTGACTTAGAGTTGCAGCTCAGCGGGAACAGGGTTGCCACACAATTGGGACTTGACACAATTATGTTGTTGGCTTTTGCTTTCGTTCTTTTCTTTGGCCAAGGCAGTTTCCATCGCCGAAAACGACTGCTGTGGTGTGATAACGTCGCTACGTTGCCTCTTTGCCCCAGGCTCGGCACGCAGATCGTGTGGAAGAGTCTGTAACTGTGGTGGGTGATACTGCACCACCAAAAGCATACATTCCAGTCATGCTGCAACAGTGCTGCATGACCCGTTCACCTCAGGCTATACTTCTGGCAGTTCGCGAACTGGGTGAATGAGACTGGCCCCTCTGCTTTACCGCCTGGTATCCTGCAGTGGGTTCGACACTGGCGTGCTGCACCGGCACTATGACGGTGTGTGCGGGGAACTGGACCTATGATAGTGTGGATACGTGCCGTCTCATGTCCATAGACGCCGAGCTCACAAAGATTATGGCAGTCACCCAGGCCCTGCGTCACATAGCCTCGTTGCCGTGAGGGGCGCCGCACCCCTCCCCGGCGGACACGAGCGATTTCTCAACCCAGGTTGCCTTGAGCTAACTTTCCAAACGGGGAAATTGCACATATTGCAGGGGCACTTCTCGGGGCCAAGGCCCACGCCGCGGGGCTATCTCATACCGGCGCAGGACGCGCCCGGTGAGGAACCAGCGGCGCAACGCCGTCGACTGGACAACGCCCACTGGCAACGGCCAGGTCGTCTGAGCATTGGGCAGGCTCGTCAGCAGCCAGCTGCGCTGCAGCGCGTCTGGTCTCGGAATTGGGCTTGCCAGTTCTCCTCTCAAGCTCCCCCGCCCCTCCCGGATCCTTACGCCTGTCGATGCCTCCAGCCTTAGTGCGCCAGGTACTGCAAGCAAATGGGCGGTCCAGCGGCGCCAGAAGGATACCGAAATCGACAGTGTCCGCCAGCGCTGGACACCGGACGCCATCCACAGGGGCGCAACATGTCTGCGGCGGAGGCGCCACTCCAGCGCACCCCCGAAACGGAGGATCTTTGCTTGACTGGAAGCGGCAGCCCTCAGGAGCCAAAAATGTGATGTCGTATAGCGGCAGTATCTACGGTAGGCCTGGCGGGGCCTGCACGAAGGGCTCCAGGGCACGCGAGAGGGGCAGCGCCGCTGGTGTACTACAAATCCCCGTAAGCCATTCGCCTCCGCGGCATTTCGCCACTGCATTTCCGAGCTGCGCAGCGTCCACAGACAGGAAGCCCCGCCCCGGGCCCTACTGCGAAGCAGCTGGACATCGCGCGGCCGCCCACCTGATTCTTGGACGTGTCCTCCGCGACCGCCTTCTTGGATGCGCCCCTGGCGACAAAGGCGGCCTTGGCCTTCGAGTTGGTCTGCCCCATCGCCGGGAGGCAGACACGCCCCTGCGTTCAAGAGGGGCGCGCACAGACTGAGCCGGTGCGCAGGCCCAGACGGGGCAACACGAATGCCTTGTGCACACACGTGAGGCGAGGATAGAGAGCCGGGGGAAATGCGGGAGTGGGGGCGGGGCGGCGGCTGGCAACAGCGCTCGTGACGATGTCTTCAGCTGCGTCGCGTGGGCGGTGAGGTGCTGCTGGGTGCGCGCCGCCTGGACGCTGGGGAATGTGTGTTGCTTTGGGCAGTAAGTCGTGCGGCAACTGGGCCGTATGTGACCACGTCATATCGATGACCAGGGACTTACTACGGTGCTACTGTACAGGCTCGCGCCACAGCTGAGAGGCTGACCCTTGGACGCGTGGAGGGATTGGACGGGGGCGCGATGGGTGCGTTCATGGGTTAGGCGATGGGTATGTGAGCAGGGGGTGACGGTCGCTCGTCAGCACCGCTCTCGAACCTCGCAGTTTCCAAATCTTCCGGTTTTCACCTGTAACGATATTGATTGATTGGTGCCAAGCGCTGGTTCCCCCCTCAGCCGGACCAGTCCGGGGGAAGCAGCAATGCCCGGCGTGCTCGATTGCGCACACCAGCGTGCCGGGGACCCGTGCTCCAACCCAAGTCTTCCCTTGCCCTCCGGTATCCTGTTGATGGGTACACGTGCATGAAGTTGTTGGCTTGGATCCGCGCCCGCTGGCCGTTGGCACTACCGTATTTACCCGGTATTAGTAGGCACCCCCTATTAGTATTCAACCCCCTCTTTGGGGGTCGAACCCACATTGGTATCCATGACCCGGTGTTAGTATCCACCCCCAAAACCTCAACAGAGCAGAAACGACAAAAGGCGCGGGTGGCGGCAAGGGAAGTCGGGGGTTGGTGTTGGACCTCGTTGCCCAGTCTGGACCAAACTATGTTCCCTGCGATTCTCACACCGACTGGGACGACGGGTTGGGGTGGATGTTGTCGAGGGAGAATTTGGAGGGTTGCTCTCGAAAGGCCGCATGGTCGGCTGGCCGCCGTTGGCGTTCTCAGGTCAGGATCGCAAGGCAGCGACCGACGCTGCAAGTCCCGATGATAGAAGCGATCGAGAATTCAAAGCCGCCCTGGTTTCTGGATTGAGCCAACCTGCTCCCCGGCCGGCCAGAGCAGGTTCTGGCCTGGCGCCCGCAACGGGCCCCCCAAGGCCCAGCGCCAGGAATGGGCAGGCGACGGCATTGGTCGGGGCAGCTGCCGTTGCGAGACCCCGCCTTGCAAAACTGGTTGCAAAACGCTGCGAAGGTGGGGCAAAACACATCTCACTGGCTGCCAGGCCACAGACCCCATCGCAGATCCCATCAGCCTTCCCAGCCTCCATCAGCGAGGGAAAATGCCGCATGTCAAGCATCGTCGCGACGTGGTGCCCCAGCGAGTCGATAACCATGTCAGGCCTTGTTCTTTGCATTGCAGAGGCAAATGCGCCTCGAGCATTTCAGCGAACCCCTGACGGCCCCAGTCGCCGGTCGCCACCATCTGGTGCAACCAATTCCTGTGCAGAGGCTGACAACATTCCGCACTAGCATCGCTATTTTTGCCCATTTTTAGGCATTTTACAGCCTATTTGTCAAAAATTTTCTTTGTCTACTCTTTGCAATCAAGGGTCCAAACCGCGTTAGTATACATGGCCCGCTATTGATATCCACAACTCATTTTGGGGGTCCAATACATGCCTAATAATACCGGGTAAATACGGTATCTCCACTATCTATGATGATGAACCAGTTATGTTCCGCCACTTTGCATGCATGACACTGATGATTCGGCCACAGGAATCCGGGCACAAACAGCTCACAGGCCCCGGACACCCTTGCACATATAGTCATAATGTGACGTGGCTACGTAATTGGCTAAATTGACCTTTTGTGAGTGTTATTAAGAGCTTCCTGGTTCCAACGAGCTTTTAAACGCCCGATTCCGTTAAGAATTGACGAAGATATGGCCTTCTGAAGTCCCAGTACTTAGGGCCAGGGGGTCGGGTGTTAGATGCTTGGAATTAGAGGACATTAGGTCGATCGTAGGTGAACGGTGGACGGCGACGATGTGCCTGGACGTGCACCTGACTTGTCTTGTCTTGATGTGATAGCGATGGACCCGCGATCGGGCATCGCGCATGCGGATTTGTGCGCGCGCATGCTGTGAATCGTGTAACACCGTTCTGGCCCACTGCTTGGTCTCTCCGCGACCAGCGAGCCACCGACTGGCTGCGCCACCACCCGCCGCATACAGCAGGCCCCGGGGGACGATCCCCATCGTTCTGGGCCCACCGCGCATCCGAGGGAACGAGCGCCCCGCTTCAGCCCACTGAATTCGGTGGAGAGGGCTGGCTGACCTCCAACAGCCAAGCCGCAGGGCGTGGCGACCCCACGAGCTTCGGAAACCAGCGGCGCCCTTCAGGGCCGCAACAAATTGGTTTCGGAGCTGACAACCCGGAGCCAGAAGCTGAGCAGCGGGCGCAGCATCCGAAGAGTGACCTGCAGCCTCCAAGGCTGCGATTCGAGAAGCCTCTAGCACCCGCAGCGGCGGCCAGCCACAACCAACGGCTGAATCGCCGTGCTGTGAGCTGCGGTGTGCATTGAAGAGCCAAGGAAGAGCATTACCATTGGGCGATTGAGTTTGGCGTGGGCAGAAGGCGGGCGATCGCCGAATCAGCGCATCTCAAGCAGTTGCATTGCAGATTCAACGCTGGAATTCGAGCTGCGCCAAGCAGTCTACCCGCGGCCGAATTCGTGAGGACCAGCACCCATCAGTTGGAAGATTCAAACAACCTCAGTGCCACCCGCTGTAGAATAGGGGTGAAGGTCCCACTCAAGAAGCAGGGGACATCTGCTGCTTCACCTTATTTTGCAGGTACCGCAGGTGGGTCACCACCTGACCGCTCTGCACCAAGATTGGGGGCCTGATTAGGGGAAGGGGGAGGAGATTGAGCACAGCAATAGGCAGGCCCTATTGGGTCCAGAGTGCTACTGCCTAGAGGCAGCATCTCCCCTGGAACCGGTCAGAGGGTGAGGCCATTGCCCACCTGAGGTAGACAGGCCAGTCACCCCTTCGGAACCTTGGGTGGCTGAATCTTAAAATATTAGATAGGCTGGGGGTGCCATAGGCCTACCCAGACCTCTTACAGCGGTCTCGTCCCAGGCAAGGGACACCTTCTTAGGTTGTTTGGCTGAAG